TTAAAGCCAAGCAGGCTTATCATTCTGTGATCGAAACACTATGATGTCATAATATGTTATCAGAAGAATCCTGTATGTTTTCAGTACTCTCTGTTATCTCTTCCGCCTTGTGTGGCGGTGTGTCCCCGTTTGATGACGTCATCGTAACACCATTTCTTCCTCCTTCCCAGGTGTCCCCAGGTGATGACCTCACTGCTGTTCTCCAGTCCCGCCCACGTCGTCATGAAGGACTGCGAGCCTCTGCCATCCTCCCTCACCCTGCTCCACTACCCTGGGACGACGGTCACCGCCAAGACCCCCAGGGATGACCCCTTCCCCGCCTCCACCCCCCACTCCTCCACCTCTCCATCCCTCTCCAAACCCCAGCCCTTCTGCCTGCAGACCCTCCAGACCAGCCCTCACCTCCTTGCCAGCATGCAGCTCCAGAAACTCAACTCCCACTACCAGAGTCTGGCTGGAGGCAGCGGTGGTTCAGGGCCCAACTCAGGGCCTCAGAGGGGGTTTGGGGGCTCGACGCTGGGCTCTGCTGGGCAGCTGGTGGGGGGTACCCCTGAAGTTAGTGGAGGGGGGAACCAGAATTGTGGATCTGGCGGCATTATAGATTCTGACCCGGTGGATGAAGAGGTTCTGATGTCGTTGGTCATAGAGCTGGGTTTGGACAGGGCCAATGAGCTGCCTGAACTCTGGCTGGGACAGAATGAGTTTGACTTCATAGCGGATGTATCTGCTGGATGTTGACCCGCCCGGATAGAGGGATGGAAGGAGGGGATCTGTGCTCTCTCATTCTTTCTTTTCTTCTGTTAGTCTCTCGTTTGGATGGACACATACTCTGACATCCCTGCTGGGTACTAACCCAAACACACATACTCTGACGTCCCTGCTGGGTACTAACCCAAACACGCATACTCTGACGTCCCTGCTGGGTACTAACCCAAACACGCATACTCTGACATCCCTGCTGGGTACTAACACAAACACGCATACTCTGATGTCCCTGCTGGGTACTAACCCAAACACGCATACTCTGACATCCTGCTGGGTCCTAACCAAACGCATCTCTGACGTCCCTGCCGGGTACTAACCCAAACACGCATACTCTGACGTCCCTGCCGGGTACTAACCCAAACACACATACTCTGGTGTCCCTGCTGGGTACTAACACAAACACGCATACTCTGACGTCCCTGCCGGGTACTAACCCAAACACGCATACTCTGACGTCCCTGCCGGGTACTAACCCAAACACACACAGAAAGAGAAACTGTCCTTTGTTTTTTTCTTTTTTGTGGGTCAACGTCTGTTTTTCTCGGAAAGAAACATGATGAACACAAACTGTACCACCCTCTCACACTCGGGTGGGGTTCCGTCTTGTGTCTTTCTGTGTGTGAGTGTGTCACAGAGAGGGTGATGACGTCAGAGGGAACTTGTTGACCAGTGAATCACCTTTTATTTACTCCTTGGTGGAGCACAAAGGACTCTGATGCGGCTTTGAGGGTTGTGAACATCCAAAGGTTCAACAGAAACCAAGACAGGACAAAACCCATAGGGTCCCGCCCTATCTATATTTAACAGTAGGGAAAACACTGAAGGATAGAAATAGCCATTCAGAGACAAAAGCCTTTTACCTGAGCCTGGGGCCTGTCTCACTGTACATCACATGGGCCTCCTACACACACGCACACGCGTACACACCGACGGAAGGATGGATGGATGGATGGTATTACGATCCGGTAATGGAAGTTGCAGCCTGTGAAACAGGCACTTGTTCAGTTACCCTAGCATTCAGGAGAGTTCAGGGGGTTTGATGTGACGCTAGGGTGTGAGAGAGAGAGCGCATCAGAGAGATGAGTGATGTGTGTGCATGCATGTGTACCTGTGTGTGAGAGGTTGTATGAGACAGGAGACAGACATGACAGGAGGCCTGTGTAGTGTCCATGGACCAGTAGATCAATGTAACCTGACCTGTATGGCACTGTCAGTGTCTGTATCTAAATACATTATTGAGTCTCAACGTCAGTGGTCTTCATGTAACTCTGTAGGAGGGAACGAATCAGTTCCCCCCCCCCCCTCTGTCTTTCTCTCTGTTTCTGCCCGATCTCCCTCTCTCTCTGTATGTATTGTAAGTCTCTCCATCTCTCGCTCTGTCTATATCAAATGGATGATGTCTGAAGAAGCAAGGAGAGCTATGAGACTCTCTCTCACCCCCCCCACCCTCGCCTTTGTGTCCTGGTCAAAAGTAGTGCACTATATAGGGAATAGGGTTCCATTTGGGATACACACAATCTATTAGTTAATGAGGGTTAAGGTTACAGTTAAAGATGGCTGACTTATACTTTTTCGGGGGTGAAATGTGAGCGCTGAAGACGAATTGATGATAAACTGATGATTGAGTCATTGACTGATTTACTTACAGTACCTACCTTGTAAAGATTTTTTTTTTTTATGATGTCTTGTGTAACCCATTTACGCGAAATGTAAGAGGGAAAAGTTTCCATTGACTAAATTTCACAGGTTCCAGTGAATAGAGCCCTAAGCCTGAATTATATTGCATCAACATGCTGTGTGTAGGGGAGTCTGCATGTGGAAAAACCATGTTTTGACACCCAGGAAATTGAAGATAACTAATGGTAAATACCAACTTGTAATTTCCTGAACAGGAACCCTTTGAGCTTACTGACTGTAGCAAGAGCATTTACTTTCATTTGTTTTTGTTCGTTTGGCTTATTTGACATTTCACATATTTTTGTGATTTATTTTGTTTTAGGGCGAGAAACCTCTTGCTATTGATTTTGTAAAAGAAAAAAAACCAATGTTTGAAATAAATGTATATCAGTTACTAATGAATCACTTGTCTAGTAGATACTGCACTGATTGTATGGTCCTAAGTTTCTCTCTTAAAATCACACCTTTTTCAATTGAAGCGTTTCTTTTGTTTAAGAGAATGGGAGGTGGACCTATTGCTTAATTTTTCTCTCTTCTTTGATTTTTCTTTTTTAAATGACGGAACGAATATATCCGAGGTTGATTGATTATTATATATTTTTTTGCACTTTGTCCCTCTTTTGAATCTCATTTGTATTTCTATGTAAATTACTAGATCATATTTAAATAGTTGTATTTTTGTTACTTCTCTGCATGTTGGGGAAAATAAAGAATACCAAACTGAATATTCTCTCCGTTTCTCATTATACTCAAACAGTACGTATAGTCTACCATTGATTTGTACACAATTTAGTTCGCAATCTATACACGAACACACGATCCTGTAGCTGAGAAGAGTCCACACACTAATGAAAATGGTTAGTCGTCATAACTTTCTTATAAAATGTCGCCATCTAGTGGCAACTTTTCAGAAATGCCTCAAAGTACACAGGTCGAGTCCTATAATAAAAGCAATATGGACTGTAGGCGTACTTGGGCAGCACGTGTAACAAAAAAATACTGCAGATAAAGATGATTTGATCCTGCATTCCTTGTTAAAGAAACAAAGACAGTCATATTAACTTATGAAAACAAAGTGATACAACAAGCATAGCAAACACTGCATGTTTATTGAGGATCAGGGGTCAAACGGGCATAATATAATCAAATCAAATTTTATTGGTCACATACACATATTTAGCAGATGTTATTTCGGGTGTAGCGAAACGCTTGTGTTCCTAGCTCCAACACTCCAGTAGTATCTAACAATTCACAACAATTCACACAAACCTAAAAGTAAAAGAATGGAATTAAGAAATATATAAATATTAGATCGAGCAATGCCTTTGTGTAAAAGTATATGACTTGTGTAAGTGAGACTGAATTGAGTAGACAGAATTCAAAGCATAAGAAAGCAAGCTGCAGGACAGAAGGACGTCACTAGTGACATTTGGCATGGGAACACGCGGAAGAACGGTTTGATTATCTTGCGCTGCATAAACAGAAGGGCCCTGTGCCGCGCGCTGTTATTTCCTGACACAGATAGCAGGAGGAAATCAGAGAGAGGCTCAGGGAATAGCAGAAAAAAACAGGTTACAGAACATACCAACATTTATTCGTTTAGTACGGATGAAGACATTTAGGCAAGACTTGCGAATCAAGATAATCAATATTATGAAGAGAAGTTAAACTGTGTGTGCTGTGCTTTGCTTAGGCCTATTATAGATTTCGAGAATATGATTGAATTTGATATATAACATATTTACAATCATATAAGAATCACAGTGAGAGCCATGTTGAGAGCCATATAATGTATTTGTACCATTCAATAAAATACAGATACTGACTTTATTATGTATAGCTGCTAAAATAAAATAAAAATCCATACTGTATTTCTGACAAGTTCAAGGTACATCCAGTTGCAGCTATTCTCCTCGACACTAGAGAGCGGACCATATAAATTATGCTCGGTATGTCCCTCATCGTGCACCGTACTTGGTCTCATTTTCCAAGGACTAAAAGTGGGAGGTCCTTTTCCCCGCAGACTCCAACATGGTGAGCCGTATTTCCTTACGATTTTCTCCCGAATCATCATCAAACATCACTTTTTCTGAATATAATATATCACATATAACTGCGATTGTCTGAGAATACATACTTTGTGCAATGGTTAGTTCCTGTATTTATATAATAAGTTATGTCTGTGTCTATGAAACGATATTAGTAAAAACTACTCGTTTGACCATCGTAGCCACAGGCTAGCTAGTTAGCAACAGCTCTGCACATTTCAGCCAAATATGTTTCTGTTACCACGACTTCTACGTTCAAAAGTCTATTTCCGAAGCTTATACTAGTCTTGGCAATTGAGCATACCTTTTTTAGGGGAGAATTTGTGAAAAATAAACCAACTTTGTTGTGCTTTTGCCGAGTAGGCCTCAGCCGGAACTCGTAACAAATGACTAACTTGCACGGTAACTTTTGCTAGTCAGACAGGTCGCATGGTATCAGTCGTTTCTGTCTGTTTGGCTGTTACTCTAAAGTTTTACTGCTGTGTTGACTAACGTCGTTTTTCTGTTTACCAGGCACGAGGACCGAAGAAGCACCTGAAGCGCGTTGCAGCGCCCAAGCATTGGATGCTTGACAAGCTCACCGGAGTGTTCGTAAGTACATAGCTACTTCTTTCTATGTCGAAACCACAATGTTACTAAATGGTTGCAGATTAGTATACACAATTATTAGCAAAACTGAGGGCATTCATATCTATCCACCAGTGTTCCATTATTTTCACAACGAACATGTCATTCATTGTCTTGTGCCCTACCTGTATCTCCTCACCTGGGCTGTTGAACAACGTGACCCTAACTTGCGGCATTTCCCCTCTTTTATTGAAATAACATTTGCTTGTCAAGTTTCATTTTCATTATTAAATTGAGCACGGCAAACAAAGTTTATGCTTAAAGGCGCTGCATGCTCAATCCGACGTCTGCAGTTGCTTTAGAGCAGGGTTTCCCCCAACTCAGTCTTGGGGACCACAAGCTGTGTACGTCTTTGTTTTTGCCTTAACACTACACAGCTGATTCAAACAATGAACTCTTCATCAAGCTTCAGTTATTTTAATCAGCTGTGTAATGCTAGGGCAAAAACCAAAATGTGCACCCCTTGGGGTCCCCAGGACCGAGTTTGGGAAATGCTGCAGCATAGGAATGAATACTTGTGTTTCTGAGCAGAGCTGTTGTGAAGGAAGTTATAAAGGAATTGAGTTTGTTTATACTGAACCCCTCCTGCCGTCAACCAATCATGTCAATGCAGCCCTATACGGAGACGCAGGAACTCAACTGGAGGCTCTGCGATGGTGTCACACCATCCTTACAGCGCCTCCGACCACATTTTCGGATCGAGCCTAAATTGGCTCTCAAGAGTTGCTAGATTGTGGCCCTATAAACGTTTTTTAATCAATGAAGTTGTGTTTGCAACGTGTATAGTTGTAGTCATTTGCTATTTCATCTACGGAACCAGACATGGGTCTCGTGTTCACCCATCCTTACACCCCATTCGCCACTCTTCGTCCTAATCTTCAATCCAATTCCACGTCCCTTCTTAATCATACCAGTTCCCCACGTCCTCTCTTCTATCTAACATTCGCATTCTCTCCATCAACCGATTCGCCACGTCCTCTCTCCTATCCTAACCCCATTCGCCACGTCCTCTCTCCTATCCTAACCCCATTCGCCACGTCCTCTCTCCTATCCTAACCCCATTCCCCACGTCCTCTCTCCTATCCTAACCCCATTCCCCACGTCCTCTCTCCTATCCTAACCCCATTCCCCACGTCCTCTCTCCTATCCTAACCCCATTCCACGTCCTCTCTCTTCTAACCCATTCGCAGTCCTCTTCCTATCTACCCATTCCCAGTCTCTCCTACTACCTTCGCCATCCTTCCTCCAACCCATTCGCCACGTCTCTCTCCATTACCACACTCTACTTCCACGTCCTTTTCCTATCCAACTCCATTACCACGTCTCTTCCTATCATAACCCTTTTTAGCACGATCCTCTCTACCTAAACCACTTCCAGTCTCGTCTTTCCACCATCCAGTCCTCCACCGTACCTCGTCTCATCCTAACCCATTCGCCACGTCCTTTCTCCTATCAACCATGTCGCACGTCTCATCTTCTCTATCCTACCCCTTCCCACGTCGTTCCTTCCTAACCCATTCCCACTCCTCTCTCCTTCCTACCACATTCGCCACGTTCTTCTCTTCTACCGCACACCAAATCACCTAAGTCCCGTCATGCCCTATCCTAATCCCCATCGCCACGTGTCCTTCTCTATCTAACCCCATTCCACGTTCTCTCTTCGCATCACTTAACCATGTCGCCAGTCCTGTTCCTATCCTAACCCCAATTCTGCAGTCCTTCTCCTATCCTATCCCCATTTCCATCTATCTTCTATCCTAACCCCATTCGCCACGTCTCTCTCTATCCTACCCATGTCCAGTCCCTCTACCTTGCTAACCCCATTCGCCAACGTCCTTCCTATCTAACCCATCCCATCTCTCTCTATCTGAACCATGCGTACTCTGTCTATCTAACCCTTCCACTCTTCTCCTATCCTAACCCATTCGCCACGTCATCAGTCTTATCCTAACCCATCGCCAGTCTTCTCCTATCCTAACCCTTCGCCAGTTCCTTCTCTATCCTAACCATTCCCCACTCCTCGTCCCTTCCTGACCCATCCACGCCTTCCCGACTACCATTCCAGTCTTTCCTATCCTAACCCCATTCCCAGCCCTCTATCCTAACCCCATTACCCGTCTCCTACTAACCCTCCCGTCTCTCCTATCTACATCCACGTCCTCTCCTATCCTAAGCCCTCACCAAGTCGTCCATCCTACCCCTTTCCCGCTAGCCTAGTCTAATCGCCATTCGCCAACGTCTGTTCCTTCCTACCATGCCACGTCCTTCTATCCTATACCATTCCAGTCTCGCTCTATACTAACCCCATTCCCACGTCCCTCATCCAGTCAATCCATTCCCTCAACGCCTCGACTCACTATCTAACCATTCACCCATCCTTACTACTATCCTCCACACCCATTTCGCCACGTCCTCTCTCCTATCCTAGATCCATTCCAGTCCTCTGCTCCTATCCTAACCCCCACGTCCTTCTCCTATCCAACCGATTGCCCGTTCCTGATTCTATCCTAATCCATTCCCCATCCTTCATCCTATCTAACCCATTCCCAGTTCCTCTCCTATCCTAACCCCATTCCCCACGTCCTCTCTCCTATCCTAACCCCATTCCCCACGTCCTCTCTCCTATCCTAACCCCATTCCCACGTCCTCTCTCCTATCCTAACCCCATTCGCCACGTCCTCTCTCCTATCCTAACCCCATCCCACGTCCTCTCTCCTATCCTACCCCATCCCCACGTCCTCTCTCCTATCCTAACCCCATTCCCACGTCCTCTCTCCTATCCTAACCCCATTCGCCACTCCTCTCCTTCCTACCGCCACGTCCTCTACGATCCTAACCCACGTCCTCTCTCCTATCCAGTGTATAGTGATCTGCTGTCCCTGCACTGTCTATAGCCACCATTGTTAATAAAGGTAGACTCAGCGACGTGAAGTTGCCACAAGCAGCATCGCAGATATTGCGATGAGTGAGATGCAAAACTTCACTCTGTCACACACGGTATCTGCGGATGAACATGGGTTTGCTTCACGTTATGTGGCAGCTCCGGGACCCAAACAGTGGAAGTTTAGCCTCGTGCTTCAATGCACATAGTAGTTGCGGATATTGACCAACTATGCTGTTTGCTTTGTGCATCTACATCCATATTGCTGAATCTACCTTTTAACTGCTCTCATATAGTTACAGTACCTAACTCTATTCTCCCCCTGTAGGCTCCTCGTCCCTCCACTGGTCCCCACAAGCTGAGGGAGTGCCTGCCCCTCATCATCTTCCTCAGGAATCGTCTGAAGTACGCTTTGACCGGGGACGAGGTCAAGAAGATCTGCATGCAAAGGTTCATCAAGATCGACGGCAAGGTCCGCACCGATATCACCTACCCAACTGGCTTCATGGGTGAGTCTGGCTGGGGGGGGCGGGGGTTGAGGAAGGGAAGGAGTGACAATGTTTTGGGTGAAGAAGGGAAAGGAGTGACAATGTTTTGGGTGAAGAAGGGAAAGGAGTGACAATGTTTTGGGTGAAGAAGGGAAAGGAGTGACAATGTTTTGAGTGTCACCTACTTTACTGGTTTTATGGGTGAGTCTGGCTGGGGAAGTGGGATTGGATTAGGAAGAGAGCCAAAGGGACAGCAATGGGAGGAGCCAAGGATTACATAAGGGTGGGTAAATGTTTGGCTTACTCCTTTCAGGGCTAGGCGACGTGAACGTCTGTGCCTCTCATAATAAGAGACCTTCGCTTGAAAAATGAGAATGCGGCAATGTTAGTTTATGCCTTTTTGAGACACCATAGCAACAACAGGCAGTATACACTTTCACAAAATAGTCAGAATTAATTTAAGATGAAATCAAGAAATATGTAAATTGACATTTTTGCAGAGGTCGTAGTTGCGCGATTTTTAGATCAGATGTTTGGTGCTGCATTTTTTAAGTGGGGGGGCTCCATGAAAACTGGTATTTCATTGAAGAATCACGTCCATAGTTCCCATTCCTGCTAGGAGTAGTACTGTTGACCAATCACTGACGAAGAGGCGTAGCCTTCTGCTATGTAACTTCGACTTAACTCAAGAAAATGTGTGTTTGAACAGCTGGGGGAGATAACAAAACCGATGCATGTGCATGGGGGAAAACGGACGGGATTTGCTTAGACTGTTGATAACATGTAAACTATATTTAGTCTCGCTGTTTATTGAAACCCCATACATTTTGCGCAATGAGCACTTGTCTTTCAAATGCATCATTGCAGTTGTTGGTTAGCTAGCACATTTTTTTTTGTCATATTAGCATTGACAAGAGATCAGTCAAAATGCCTCAAGACATGGCATCAATAAGATACGAGGCACTTATGAGTCCCACATGGCAGCCTGTCATTATTGCTATCGGGAGTGTTCAGAATCATAACGCACGCCTTCCCGGTGTCATTTTCGCTAAGTTGTCAGCCAACCCACCTGTGTGTGCAAACTGTTTAGACTGCGAAGCATGCGACAGACTTACGCGTGGAGATGGAAGGAGCGACGCTAGCAGTCTTGCATGCGTCCTCTGCTTGACGTAATCACCTCATTTTTAGGTCATCGAGATGGCGAAAGTAAAGCTAGAAGCATCTGTTTTTCACCTAGCCAGTGATGAAAGTAGAGGGCAATGAAGACACTCTTTGGTTTTGATCAACGAGCTGAAATAAATCTCACCAATACCTCTAAGAAGTTCTGAGCTCTAATCAATAGGATGTTTTTTTTTTTTTTTAAGTATTCAAACGGGGCCATATCTCATTGATTCGTCTCTACAGGGATTGTCTAGTTGAACTCGATGGGCTGTAAGGCACTAAAGGTAATGGCTGGCTTGCTCTGGGCTTTCAGGACAGAGCCCTGCGGCAAATGAATTTTCGCTTGCTTTTTGATATAGTGGTGCTGCTTGGTGTTACTGGTTAGCTGTAGAAACACCAGATGGAGACTGATCTCTGGTCACTTCAAGGGATTAAATCATTTCTTGCTCTGGGGCTCACATACTATATATACAGTGGGGAGAACAACTATTTGATACACTGCAGATTTTGCAGGTTTTCCTACTTACAAAGCATGTAGAGGTCTGTACTTTTTATATCATAGGTACACTTCAACTGTGAGACGGAATCTAAAACAAAAATCCAGAAAATCACATTGTATGATTTTTAAGTAATTAATTTGCATTTTATTGCATGACATAAGTATTTGACACATCAGAAAAGCAGAACTTAATATTTGGTACAGAAACCTTTGTTTGCAATTACAGAGATCATGTTTCCTGTAGGTCTTGACCAGGTTTGCACACACTGCAGCAGGGATTTTGTCCCACTCCATACAGATCTTCTCCAGATCCTTCAGGTTTCGCGGCTGTCGCTGGGCAATAAGGACTTTCAGCTCCCTCCAAAGATTTTCTATTGGGTTCAGGTCTGGAGACTGGCTAGGCCACTCCAGGACCTTAAGATGCTCCTTACGGAGCCACTCCTTAGTTGCCCTGGCTGTGTGTTTCGGGTCGTTGTCATGCTGGAAGACCCATCCACGACCCATCTTCAATGCTCTTACTGAGGGAAGGAGGTTGTTGGCCAAGATCTCGCGATACATGGCCCCATCCATCCTCCCCTTAATACGGTGCAGTCGTCCTGTCCCCTTTGCAGAAAAGCATCCCCAGAGAATGTTTCCACCTCCATGCTTCACGGTTGGGATGGTGTTCTTGGGGTTGTACTCATCCTTCTTCCTCCAAACGCGGCGAGTGGATTTTAGACCAAAAAGCTCTATTTTTGTCTCATCCGACCACATGACCTTCTCCCATTCCTCCTCTGGATCATCCAGATGGTCATTGGCAAACTTCAGACGGGCCTGGACATGCACTGGCTTGAGCAGGGGGACCTTGCGTGCGCTGCAGGATTTTAATCCATGACGGCGTAGTGTGTTACTAATGATTTTCTTTGAGACTGTGGTCCCAGCTCTCTTCAGGTCATTGACCAGGTCCTGCCGTGTAGTTTCTGGGCTGATCCCTCACGTTCCTCATGATCATTGATGCCCCACGAGGTGAGATCTTGCATGGAGCCCCAGACCGAGGGTGATTGACCGTCATCTTGAACTTCTTCCATTTTCTAATAATTGCGCCAACAGTTGTTGCCTTCTCACCAAGCTGCTTGCCTATTGTCCTGTAGCCCATCCCAGCCTTGTGCAGGTCTACAATTTCATCCCTGATGTCCTTACACAGCTTTCTGGTCTTGGCCATTGTGGAGAGGTTGGAGTCTGTTTGATTGAGTGTGTGGACAGGTGTCTTTTATACAGGTAACGAGTTCAAACAGGTGCAGTTAATACAGGTAATGAGTGGAGAACAGGAGGGCTTCTTAAAGAAAAACTAACAGGTCTGTGAAAGCCGGAATTCTTACTGGTTGGTAGGTGATCAAATACTTATGTCATGCAATAAAATGCAAATTAATTACTTAAAATCATACAAACCAATAGACATTCGCCATCTTATATTCATGTTTTTCTCGGGTGCGCACATTCCCACACGCACAGTATTTCTTAGCTCCTTTATCCCTGCCAAGAGTGATGACGACGGTGTTGTTGATTAATTTCCCAGACCAGGTGAAGCCTGTGAATCTGCCCACCATGTCACACCTCTCCTTCACTGGACCATATCACACTGGTAGAATCTCTATTCCAGTTCCTTGTTTCGCACGTCCTCTCGTCCCCTCTGACCTTCTCATCCATTGGGTTTTGAGGAGAGGGTCTGATATGTAGTCTAGCTTGCCACATACAATGGTATGGGTTTTATTTGGTGCTTTTCGCAAGTATATGAAAGGACTAAATATTGTTGACTTACATTCCGTTGGTTCAACGGTCATTGACTATCTGAAGTGTTTAGAACTGATGAGAATGTGATGGTGACTGAAACTGACAAATCTTTCGTATTGGATTTGTTCTGACGCAAAAGCTGTATTTTGTTCTAGCTCCGCCTTGACAGACTGAATGTTGACGTGGTGTTTGTCTATGTTCTGGATGTGATCATTGACTAATGCATGTTATGTCTGTCTGTAGATGTGATCAGTATTGAGAAGACTGGAGAGCACTTCCGTCTGATCTACGATGTGAAGGGACGTTTCACTGTTCACCGCATCACGGCTGAGGAGGCCCAGGTATGACGTGTCACACAAATGCTCTGGAGTCCAGTTATTCGCAGCTCAATCCTACCTTTTTTCAAACCGAGCAGTACCCTATAATTGGCTGAATCTTCTGTATGGAGGGCTGACGGAGCAATGAAGATAATCTTTGGTTTTGATCAACGAGCTGAAAAAACCCTCACCAATACCTCTAAGAAGTTCTGAGCTCCAACCAAAATAATTAGCTGAATCCTAATGTGAAATGGTTATATATTCTACCTTTTGTGTAAATAAAAGCCTTGTGTGATTTGTCGGATTACTTGTGCTTGTGGAGCTACACTATATACACTACCGTTCAAAAGTTTGGGGTCACTTAAACATTTCCCTGTTTTTGAAAGAAAAGCAATTTTTTTGGTCCATTTAAAATAACATCAAATTGATCAGAAATACAGTGTAGACATTGATTTTTTATGGAATATCTACATAGGTGTACAGAGGCCCATTATCAGCAACCATCTGTCCTGTGTTCCAATGGCACGTTGTTTGCTAATCCAAGTTTATCATTTTAAAAGGCTAATTGATCATTAGAAAACCCTTTTGCAATTATGTTAGCACAGCTGAAAACTGTGCTGATTTTAAAGAAGCAATAAAACTGGCCTTCTTGAGACTACTTAAGTATCTGGAGCATCAGCAATTGTGGGTTCGATTACAGGCTCAAAATGGCCAGAAAAAAAGAACTTTCTTCTGAAACTCGTCCGTCTATTCCTGTTCTGAGAAATGAGGGCTATTCCATGTGAGAAATTGGCAAGAAACTGAAGATCTCGTACAACGCTGTGTACTACTCCCTTCACAGAACAGCGCAAACTGGCTCTAACCAGAATAGAAAGAGGAGTGGGAGGCCCCGGTGCACAACTGAGCAAGAGGACAAATACATTCGTGTCTAGTTTGAGAAACGAGACGCCTCACAGGTCCTCAACTGGCAGCTTCATTAAATAGTACCCGCAAAACACCAGTCTCAACGTCAACAGTGAAGAGGCGACTCCGGGATGCTGACCTAGGCAGAGTTGCAAAGAAAAAGCCATATCAGACTGGCCAATAAAAAGAGAAGATTAAGAAGAACACAGACACTGGACAGAGGAAGATTGGAAAAAAGTTATGGACAGACTAAATGTAAAGATGCTGGAGGAATGCTTGATGCCATCTGTCAAGCATGGTGGAGGCAGTGTGATGGTCTGGGGGTGTTTTGGTGGTGGTGAAGTGGGAGATTTGTACAGGGTAAAAGGGATCTTGAAGAAGGAAGGCTCACTCCATTTTGCAACGCCATGCCATACCCTGTGGACGGCGCTTGATTGGAGCCAATTTCCTCCTGCAACAGGACAATGACCCAAAGCACAGCTCCAAACTATGCAATAACTATTTAGGGAAGAGGCAGTCAGCTGGTATTCTGTCTATAATGGAGTGGCCAGCACAGTCACCGGATCTCAACCCTATTGAGCTGTTGTGGGAGCAGCTTGACCGTATGGTACGTAAGAAGTAAGCCAATCCAACTTGTGGGAGGTGCTTCAGGAAGCATCAGGTGAAATCTCTTCAGATTACCTGAACAAATTGACAACTAGAATGCCAAAGGTCTGCAGGACTGTAATTGCTGCAAATGGAGGATTATTTGACGAAAGCAAAGTTTGAAGGACACAATTATTATTTAAATAAAAAATCAGTTTCCTATTAATTTTGCTATATTTCCTATTCAAACTCATTTCCTGTATGTTTTCATGGAAAACAAGGAAATTCCAAACCCAAACTTTTGAACGGTAGTGTATGTGTGTGTGGACACTTCGAATTAGTGGATTCGGCTATTTCAGCAACACCCGTTGCTGACAGGTGTATAGAATTGAGCACACAGCCATGCCATCTCCATATTCAACATTGGCAGTAGAATGGCCTTACTGAAGAGCTCAGTGACTTTCAACGTGGCACCGTCATAGGATGCCACCTTTCCAACAAGTCAGTCAAATGTCTGCCCTGCTAGAGCTGCCCGGGTCAACTAAGTGCTGTTATTGTGAAGTGGAAATGTCTAGGAGCAACAACGGCTCAGCCGCGAAGTGGTAGGCCACACAAGCTCACAGAACGGGACTGCCGTGTACTAAAGTGCGTAATGCGTCAAAATCGCCTGTCCTCGGTTGCAACACTCACTACAGAGTTCCAGACTGCCTCTGGAAGCAACGTCAGCACAAGAACTGTTCGTCGGGAACTTCATGAAATGGGTTTCAATGGCCGAGCAGCCACACACAAGCCTAAGATCACCATGTGCAATGCCAAGCGTCGGCTGGAGTGGCGTAAAGCCCGCCGCCATTGGACTCTGGTACGGTGGAAACGCGTTCTTTTGGAGTGATGAATCACGCTTCACCATCTGGCAGTCAAAAAAATGTATGCATTGTTGGTTAAGGGCTGTAAGTAAGCATTTCACGGTAATGTCTACACCTGTTGTATTTGGCGCAGGTGGCAAATAAAATTTGATTTGATTTAAAGGACACATCTGGATTTGGCGGATGCCAGGAGAACGCTACCTGCCCCAATGTGTAGTGCCAACTGTGAAGTTTGGAGGAATAATGGTCTGGGGCTGTTTTTCATGGGCCGGGCCCCTTAGTTCCAGTGAAGGGAAATCTTAACGCTACAGCATTCGATGACATTCTAGATGATTCTGTGCTTCCAATTTTTAGCAACAGTTTGGGGAAGGCCCTTTCCTGTTTTAAGCATGCCCCTGTGCACAAAGCAAGGTCCATACAGAAATGGTTTGTTGAGATCGGTGTGGAAGAATTTGACTGGCCTGCACAGAGCCCTGACCTCAACCCCATCGAACACCTTTGGGATGAATTGGAACGCCGACTGCGAGCCAGGCCTAATCACCCAACATCAGTGCCCAACCTCACTAACGCTCTTGTGGCTGAATGGAAGCAAGTCTACACAGCAATATTCCAACATCTAGTGGAAAGCCTTCCCAGAAGAGTGGAGGCTGTTTTATAGCAGCGAAGGGAGGGACCAACTCCATATTAATGGTCATGATTTTGGCATGAGATGTTGGACGAGCAGGTGTCTGCATACATTTGGTCAGGTAGTGTAGTTGGGGTTCAGACCCCAAAACCTAGCAGTTGTCAATCAACTTTTTGAGACATTTTTACATCAAGTTGTATCTAAGTGCTTAAGTTACCCGGCCTAGACTCTAGAAACTAGGTTTGGCCATAACAATCGCTCACTTTCTCCTCTTTCCCCCTCTCCAGTACAAGCTGTGTAAGGTGAAGAAGAACCTGATGGGCACCAAGGGAGTCCCCGCTCTGGTGACCCATGACGCCCGTACCATCCGCTACCCAGACCCCCTCATCAAGGTCAACGACACAGTCCGCATCGACCTCGCCACCGGCAAGATCACAGAACACATCAAGTTCGACACAGGTAACATGATTTTATGGAACTTAAAAGAAAAACTTCTAGTGACATTGTTTGATACCAGTGAGGAAATGGGTCTAGAGATTGGGGGAATGAGTTGTCTTGCATTTCATATTTGAATAGATTTGATATCTTACCCACCTATATAAGCACTTAACGTAGTAAGGAGTGAAACTCCTCATCCACCACCAATGTGGGGCAACCAGTTGGGGGATGCACAGCAACCATTTTGTGAAATTGAAGGAAAATATTAAGCAGGATTAGTTAGTGCAGCTTGTTCTGTCGGTCCTACTATCCCTGTCTGACGGACGCTTGGTCTCGTACAACGTCTGCACAGGCATGGTACTGAATAAGGAATTTACAACTGGTTGTTTTTTTTCTTTGCAGAAACCAAAAATACATTACGGAAAAGTACGTCTGTTCATTCAGACCCTTGGATCCATAAGCACTGTCTTTTGAAACTTTTTTGCGGCTAAGCAAAGCAACAATTTTTTGCGGCTAAGCAAAGCAACAATACTAACCAATCAAACGTGGCATTCTTCTGAAGCAATCCTCTCTTCCCTTTTCTCTCCACCCCCCCCCCCTCCCTCGCTCTACTCCTCGTAGGTAACCTGTGCATGGTGACTGGCGGTGCCAATTTGGGGCGGATCGGTATCATCACCAACCGGGAGAGGCACCCTGGCTCGTTTGACGTTGTTCACGTCAAAGACAGCGCTGGAAACATCTTTGCCACCAGGCTGGGGAACATCTTCATCATTGGCAAGGTGAGCACAAGAGCAGGGAAGTAGACGACCACACACACCGAGGGAGCATTAACATGCAAATACACCTTGAAGACAACTCAACCCCTCCATTTCTTGACACGCATGTAGTTGTTCTGTACTCGTGTGTGATTGTACGGAGGTAGAACAAAGCCAATGCTATGTCTTCGGTACCAGTGTGATATCGTCTGCTGGTTCTATCCTCAATCGCTGGCACACTTCACGCTGTTGAAGAGCAGGTTTAAATCTATCCTAAACCAACTAGACTGCAAACCATGTTTAGTGTCTGCTGGGGTGGGGGTATCCGGATCATTTCTCATTCTGGCCTTTTTACAGACCAGTATTATCACTTCCTAAAAGCATAATTTCACTCTTCATAGCCATTTATTTTGTCCTCTTCCTGTCCCGTCTGATGATTGATGGCTAAAACTTGATGTGTTTTTAACTTTAAATAGTTGAATGTGAGTTGCAGCTATTCCCTTCCAATGACCTGGTCTTTTCTCCTTCTCTCCAGGGCAACAAGCCGTGGGTGTCCCTGCCCCGTGGAAAGGGTATCCGCCTCACCATCGCTGAGGAGAGGGACAAGAGAATCGCTGCCAAGGCCGGCAGCAGCTAAGTCCTATATGTAGGTCTAGGCGTCCTGACTTCGAAATAAAAACAATGTTATTTACAACCAAAAAACCAACCGCTGACTCGACTTGTGTCTTCCATGTTGATGTTTAGTTAAATGATTGATAAACTATATTTTCAGAGCAGCTTCCCCAACAAATGGACTCACTTTCACTGAAACCACTATTCAGGTCTATCTTTGCATATGAGTCATATTTTAGATCTTCCATGCTTGTGGCAGTTTCAACACAAGTTGGCGTTTATAAAAACTGAACTTGACGTGAAAGTGCTCATCATTTCACCAACTTTAGACCATGCATATGCACTACTTTCTAGTGGTTGGCAGTATCGCATTGCAAGCAGGCAAGTAGCCTAATGTTTTGTGCAAATGGGGGATATGATGGCTACTTTTTCGTAAGGGAAAAAAAACGGTTTAATAAGATGCTATCATTTGCCGTTAGTGAGAATCTTACGTTTAACTTTACATTTTCAAATAATTAGATTTGCATCTATTTCCTAGGCTATTGCGTTACCAAGATTGCATGATTCCTCACCATTTCTCTCGCTGTATGGTTTCATACTCATGAAGTAGCCTATAGGCCTACAACAAGTTGGGATACCATTCGTTCCAGGGTAGGGGAGGGAATGACCGGCAGGGATGTAGCTCAATTGGTAGAGCATGGCGTTTGCAATGCCAGGGTTGTGGGTTCGATTCCCATGGGGGGCCAGTATTTAAAAAAAGTATGCATGTACTCACTAACTGTAAGTCGCTCTGGATAAGAGCGTCTGCTAAATGACTAAAATGTAAATGTAAAAATGTTCCCTTCGTTGAATTGGACCAACTTCACAGTACATAAGCTATTACAAGTACAGTGAGGGAAAAAAGTATTTGATCCCCTGCTGATTTTGTATGTTTGCCCACTGACAAAGAAATGATCAGTCTATAATTTTAATAGTAGGTTTATTTGAACAGTGAGAGACAGAATAACAACAAAAAAATCCAGAAAAACGCATGTTAAAATTTTTATAAATTGATTTGCATTTTAATGAGGGAAATAAGTATTTGACCCCCTCTCAATCAGAAAGATTTCTGGCTCCCAGGTGTCTTTTATACAGGTAACGAGCTGAGATTAGGAGCACACTCTTAAAGGGAGTGCTCCTAATCTCAGTTTGTTACCTGTATAAAAGACACCTGTCCACAGAAGCAATCAATCAATCAGATTCCAAACTCTCCACCATTGCCAAGGCCAAAGAGTCAGGGACAAGATTGTAGACCTACACAAGGCTGCAATGGGCTACAAGACTATCGCCGAGAAGGTGACAACAGTTGGTGCGATTATTCGCAAATGGAAGAAACACAAAAGAACTGTCAATCTCCCTTGGCCTGGGGCTCCATGCAAGATCTCACCTCGTGGAGTTGCAATGATCATGAGAACGGTGAGGAATCAGCCCAGAACTACACGGGAGGATCTTGTCAATGATCTCAAGGCAGCTGGGACCATAGTCACCAAGAAAACAATTGTTAACACACTACGCCATGAAGGACTGAAATCCTGCTGTGCCCGCAAGGTCCCCCTGCTCAAGACAGCACATATACAGGCCCGTCTGAAGTTTGCCAATGAACATCTGAATGATTCAGAGGAGAACTGGGTGAAAGTGTTGTGGTCAGATGAGACGAAAATTGAGCTCTTTGGGATCAACTCAACTCGCCGTGTTTGGAGGAGGAGGAATGCTACCAATGACCCCAAGAACACCATCCCCACCGTCAAACATGGAGGTGGAAACATTATGCTTTGGGGGTGTTTTTCTGCTAAGGGGAAAGGACAACTTCACCGCATCAAAGGGACGATGGACGGGGCCATGTACTGTCAAATCTTGGGTGAGAACCGCCTTACCTCAGCCAGGGCATTGAAAATGGGTCGTGGATGGGTGTTCCAGCATGACAATGACCCAAAACACACGGCCAAGGCAACAAAGGGGTGGCTCAAGAAGAAGCACATTAAGGTCCTGGAGTGGCCTAGCCAGTCTCCAGACCTTAATCCCATAGAAAATCTGTGGAGGGAGCTGAAGGTTCGAGTTGCCAAACGTCAGCCTTGAAACCTTAATGACTTGGAGAAGATCTGCAAAGAGGAGTCGGACAAAATCCCTCATGAGATGTGTGCAAACCTGGTGGCCAACTACAAGAAACGTCTGTCCTCTGTGATTGCCAACAAGGGTTTTGCCACCAAGTACTAAGTCATGTTTTGCAGAGGGGTCAAATACTTATTTCCCTCATTAAAATGCAAATCAATTCATAACATTTTTGACATGCGTTTTTCTGGAATTTTTGTTGTTATTCTGTCTCTCACTGTTCAAATAAACCTACCATTAAAATTATAGACTGATCATGTCTTTGTCAGTGGGCAAACGTACAAAATCAGCAGGGGATCAAATACTTTTGTCCCTCACTGTATGTTGCTCTGCCATTCGATCCGTAGCTCAGTTTAACGGTGGAACAGACGGTTGTAGGCTACTTCTGTAGCTTACGTCGGTAATTTTCAAATATTTCATTTATAAACAATATATTGTCATAGCCATTGCAGAATATATTCCTCACTTTTTCTGGCCATGATGGGTTCATATTCCCGAAGTTGCCATAGCCTACGAATTACCATGCTCATTTAATTGGGCCTATTCGGCTGTTTTTAAGTAGAATTTAACAGGTAAACAGAATTTAACAGGTGAACATACCGTTGATTATTTGCATTGAAGTGTTTATGGCTACCACTAAGTAGACTGTTTCAGAATTCGCGGGCAGTGCGACATATTTTCCACAGCCATTTGCAATTGTTTTGGTCTTAAACTTTTTTTTCTGTCAGATGGCCTAGGCCTACTGCTAAAGTTTAACATTCTGCCATCACCTACAAAGACATTTGATTAAGTTCGCCATTGCTATTTCCTTTAGGAAGCTACCTTGGCCTAATTCCAATACTTCCAAAGTATACAGCAAATAAGGGTGTTATTGTCACCATAAAAAGTCGAAGTATGTGCGTTTCATTCAAAGTTTTAATGCTCATTCACGCGCAGTTTCCGGATGGTCTATACGCGCGATGA